ACTACTCTTTATGTTTATTATTGCTTTTGGTATATCTTCACAGTGTAGTTTTTGGTATATCTAACTTAGTATGTTTATTGTTTTTGTAAAACTTTTATTCGGCTCAATTGACCTTAAGAAATAAAGTCGGCCTAGCCAAAACAATTGCGTCGAAACTTTCACCTGCACAAAGAAAAATGTTTGAGGATACATGCTTCGGGCCATGGCTGAAAGTACATCCCGGTAGAGATGCGATATTGACACACCTGTTTCTTCAAACCATGACTAGCGATCTACCAGAGACTATACAACGTCGTGATGAAGAGATATGGTTTGATTTTCCACCGGCGTATACGTGTTTTGGGCGGGAGGAGTTTTGCTTAATCACCGGTCTACGCTTCGACACGATGATATAGGTCGGTACACTAGACACATTACCCGCCCATCATGGCTATCTCGGGTTTTTCCTGAGCTGGAGAGGCCGAATCTACACGTAGAAGACCTGACAAGATTGTTGAATAAGAAAGATGGTTTTACTCGGATGGATGACGTCGACGTTGTCCGAGTATGCCTTCTAATTCTTTTGCATGACGGCATTTTAGGCAGAGAGGTCAGACAACCTATTCCAAATGATCTAATCAAATTGGTAGAAGACTGCGTGTAACCTGTTTCCGTGGGGCTCGTATTTATGGAAAGCTACATGGAATAAGTTATCGTCTGCCTTGGATGATCGAAAAAGTTTGCATTGCGATGATTCCAAATACACTTTGACAGGCTTTATTTGGGCCTTTAAGGTAAGAATTTTTATATAATGTTTCTAAAATTATAAGTAATTATTTAACAATTACTAATGTTTGTTATTATATTGTTTGTATATTTGGATATTTGAGGCCTTTCCCGCCATGAAGACATGCAATAAAAACTTCAAATGATATTCCCAGGGCTATTTCCTGGAAGAGGAAACAGACCTTGCAATGGGAAGATTTACTACGGTATACAACAATAAATAATGTAAGTTAACATAAATACTACCATATGTTTATAAACAAGTTATTACTAGTACACGTTTAACTTTGTTTGAACTTTTATATTGTTAGGAGGCCAACACTCCTCTACAGAGGCTGACACCCACGGAAGCTGAGCTTGCCACAGATTGGTGGCAAGCTAGTAAGCGTTTTTTTGATGGAACGGTTGATGAGCAACCTCCACTTCGGGAGCCATCACCTCGCCTAGAGCTATCACCTCACCCAGAGCCATCATCTGATCGACCCGACTATACACCTCCACAACGACAGCCATCACCTATTCTGTCACATCATCGAGCCTCTTCTCCACCATCACCGCAAGATAAGCGACCGGCAAAGATGCCACGACGTTTATCTCCCTGTTCTCTACCTCAACGGGATGAGTTAGGGGAGTTACGTGATGAGGTCAATGCCTTGCGTGAGAAGGTCGGTACTTTACGCAAAGACGATGGTGCATGGCATGTTGAGGTGTCTACATTACGCGGTGAGATAGCCGCTCTACGTGAGATGGTAGCATCGTTGCAGAATGAGGTTCATACTCTACGCAACGAGGTAAGTTTAAGATTTTTCATACTCGTAATTCATTCGGTTGCTGCCAATACTGCTAAACTGTTTTTGTTAGTATTTGTTTTTGGTTTTGTTTTTGTCTTTTGGTTGAAGTAATGCAATCCATTCAAGTTTCAATTTGCAGAAGAAGAATAGTTTACTTTCGCAACACGAAAATGACTATCGCAATGCGGAAATGGCTATCGCAATGCGAAATGAAAATCGCAACGACAAAATCGCAATACGAAATGAAATCGCAACGACAAAATCGCAACGCGAAATGAAAATCGCAATGCGATTTATGTTTCGCGTTGAGATTTTGTCGTTGCGATTTCATTTCGCATTGCGATTTTGTCGTTGCGATTTTCATTTCGCATTGCGATTTTGTCGTTGCGATTTTCATTTCGCATTGCGATAGCCATTTCCGCGTTCCGATAGTCATTTTCGCGTTGCGATTTTAAGTTTCGTGTTGCGAAAGTAAACTATTCTTCTTCTGGAATGTTTATATATGTTGTCCTTTTAAATGTTTATATAAGTGCTTACTTCTGGAATGTTATCTGAGCATTTTGTGAACTATGATAGAATAATGACTTAGGTGAATACAATGCTAGTTTGAAACATATTTGTCTTTGTTTAATATCATGTCTGTTTATTTACTAATTTATGTATTAATTTTTTTTAGCGGCTTGATAAGGTGGATGCTTTACGTCGGGTTTTCCTTGCACGACGGAGTTTACGCATCAGACGGCGTGGACGTGCTATTAGGTCTCCGTTCACCCCAATGGTGCGAAGACTCCGCAAGAAGAAGCCCGACTCACCTGTCATCCCTCAAGAGTCTCCTCCAATCGTTCAAGAGGCCCCTATCCTCCCTCAAGGGTCCCCCCCACCGTTCAAGAGGCCACTGTCATCGTTGAAGTGGTCCTCCCACCATTCCAGAGTCCGATTCACATGGGGTAATATATCGAAGTATTGATAAACCCCCACCGGTTCCGGACATGATGGATGAGAGTTGGCTCTCGTATGAGTTACCGGCTATTACTCTTCCGGTATCTGAAGTGGAGAGGAGACAACTACCGGAAACAATTGTGGATAATACCCTTTGGGCTAAGACCGCAATTGATTTTTATATACATGAGCGGAGCCAAGGGTGTTACACTGACATAAGCAAACTCAACGATGAAATGTTTTTATTGCTTGATCGGTCTTAGTGAGGTGTGCTATTAGGGGTTGAAGACTGGTTATTTCGATGAGGAGATAAGTCTTATATTTATCTTATATATGATTTTGATTAATTTTTAAAAAAATTAATGTAATTCACTAATATATGTATTTTTTTTGTAAAACAACATATCGATGCGTGGGTGTCACGTCTACTAATAATAAGGAAGCTTAGGAAAAATAAAAAAATTCGCGATATACAATAATGTCGGCGGCTTTTCAAGCAGTTCACTTGAAGAACCAACGAGATGAATCATTTTCGTTGGGCAATGGATAAGCTAAACTTTATCCTGCATGGTGGGAGGTCGATAAGGTTATTGTTTATTTTTAAAATATTTTAAAGGTTTTCGTAAATAAGTGCGCAAATAAATGAATTATTACTTATGATTGCAGGTGTTTATCCCTGTTTTGGAACGTTGTCATTGGCTTCTCGTCCAACTTCAGCTCCCATCCCTGAAGATAATAGTGTATGACAGCATGATAAATTATATATCACTGTCTGATTTGAGAGATATGATCATGGGATGGAGCTCTCATTTGGCTAAATTCTTGGATGGGAATAATTATTGGACTCATTCTGGACACAAGAAGCCAAAGAAGTTCAATGTCACAGTTGTCAGAGACGAGACCGCGCCACAACAATCGCCGGGAGCCAGAGGGGATTGTGGTCCTCTCGTATGCTTGTGCTTGGCGCGTTTGACGACGGGAAACACAGAGTTTCTACCTCCCACCGATAGAGATAGAGCTGCAGTAGGCTTGTGGTTTCGGCATTATATGGCTAGAGTAATATATTCGATACGCTGCCTACCTGCATCCGCCTTATGAAAGTGTCAATTGTTAATTGGTAAGTCAAATGCAAGTTTTGTTAACATATATACTCCTTTTGGTTTGAAAATGTTTGGTTAAGTATCTAGAATTCAATAATTTGCTGTTTGTAGGTTTTAGATGTGTAGGAAGTCTTGTTTGAGCAAATGTTTAGTTTTTGCAGATTAATCCTTAAGTGAGCTGCGTGAAATGGATGTACGGGTCACAAAGTTGTTGATTCATTGATTCAATTATTTATGAAGAAATAAGAATTATTATTATTTTTTGATTGTTTAATTGATTTGTAAAAGATGATTTGTAAATGTTGATTTGTTTAATTGATGTGTACATAATTCTTATTTGTGCTTGTTTAATTGATTGAAATGTAATAGTTGATTTGTTGATTTTCAATCTGCATTATGTTGAAGGCAAAACAGACTATCGCAACACGAAACTGACTATCGCAACGAGAGAATCGCAATGCGAAATGAAAATCGCAACGAGAAAATCGCAATGCGATTTTCATTTCGCATTGCGATTTTCTCGTTGCGATATCAATTTTCGCGTTGCGATAGTCAAATGAATGTCTAACACCATGAACATTCTCCCATGACTCTCCAAAACACAAATCTATCCAAACATGAATAACATTAGATGATTTCATGGTTGTAAATTAATTTACTAAACAAACGAGCTGTGAAACTAAGACCTGTTGCCGGATGGAGAAGGATGTAGGAACGGATATAGGAACGGATGTCGCCAGAGAGAGTGAAAGATGGAGATGGAATGAGTTGCGATTTAGGGATTTAGGTTTTGAGTTGTTGCTGCTGCGTAGATATATACCTAAAAAATTTGTGTTGTTAAACTAAAACCTGTTGCGAACTTTGAAAATCGCATTGCGATTCTGTATTATCTCGTTGCGAAAGTCAGTATCGCGTTGCGAAAGTCAGTATCGCGTTGTAAAAGTCAGTATCGCGTTGCGATAGTCAGTATCGCGTTGCGATAGTCAGTATCGCATTGCGATTTTATCAATTCGCGTTGCGATTTACTTATTCGCATTGCGAATTGGGAAAATCACAACGATACTGTAGACCATCGCAACGCGATTTCCAACTATCGCAACGCGAATTTGCGATAATAGAGATCGCGTTGCGAATTAGCGATCGCATTGCGATTTTGTTGGTCATTTTGGCAAATCCGGAAAAAATTAGTTAAAATCGTATATTATAAGGCATTTTTGGTCACTGAGGCGATTTTCTCTAAATAAAAGAAATCATTACAGCTGAAACCAGAAATCCTTGCTGTAGGAAGGTGAAAATGAATAATGCAGGTCAACTAGAGGGAAGGATGAATATATTAGTTATAGTAGACTCCACATGGAGGAGATTTTAAAAATAATAAATTACTTATGTGGGGCAATAATCATACCAAATTAGCAAAGAAGTCACTGTCACCAGCTATGAGCTTCGAGGACATACTTGTCTTGGCACAGTTTATTAGAGAATCTTTCCCAAGCTTCTCAACCTTGTAAAGGAAAACAAAGGATGAGCAAAAGGAAGACAACAAATATAGAACCAAAAAAGAAACTATAGGATATTATTCAATCAGTTTAAAAAAAATTATATTTCACACTATAGAAGGTCATATTCATTCACTTTTCAAAACAAGTTCACATATAGACACTTACTTTCACAACCAACTTCTTTTCGACATATTTGCATGCTTCCCTCATAGCTAGCTGGGAGAACAAAAGACCCAAAAACATGTTCAGATTCTGAAACATGATATATTGTTAACCAGAAAAGGAGGCCACACCAAAGGAGGTGAAATCTACTCACTCTGAAGCCACTAATTATAGATGTTGGGTGAATTTTATTCCTAACCAGATCATTTTCTTTCTCTTGAATTGCAAGTAAATTCACACATTATCAAATGAGAATAATTCTTAAAAGGCAAAAAACATCTAAAATGACTATTTTATGCATTGATCAAATCCTGGAAAGAAAGAGATGCGATTACCTTAAGAAATTCTGCAGCTACAATAACAACCGAGGTTGTTCCATCACCAACTTCTCGATCTTGAAGCTCAGCCAATTCTACAAGTACCTGCCACCACAAAGGAGATAAAAAAAATATACTATCACTGAACTAGCTATGCAACGGCAGAAGTATAATAGTAATATGCAAAGTCCGGCTACTTATCAACCTTTGCAGCGGGATGCTCAACTTCTAACATCTTGAGGATCGTCGCACCATCATTAGTTACATCACAAATATCATCAACAAGCATCTGGAAATAACCAAACCAAAAAAAAGGAAAAAAAGAAAGAAAACATTACAGAAAATGCAACATCATTAGAAACACCTGGCAGCTGATAATTCTTTGTTTTAAAAATAATAATAATTCATCTAAGAACAGAAAATGAGTTTCAAATCGGTATTCAAACAGAGACTAAGGGAGACACCTTATCGAGTCCAACCAGGCCGAGTGAGGATTTAACAATATTAGCAACTGCTTGACACGCTATTACTTTTGAAGAGCCCAAAAGGGAAAAAAAGAGAAGAAAAAATGAGTAGTTATTAATAAATGAAGCAAGGAAGGGGTGATAGAAAGAGAGAGAAGGTTACCGTTTTGAGTGCGAACATCCCGACCAGATTGACGGTCGCCGTGAATATCTGGAGCTTGCGCTGCAATCGCCATATGAGGTTACGAAAGAAGAACAAATCGGGATCTGAGGGCGGGAGGTGAAGTTGGGGAAGAGGGGGATTTGCAGAGAGTTAAAAGAAATGGAAAGTGGGTCGAGATTGTTCAAAATCCGACCCACTATTACTTTGACTGTTTAATTGTTATTGAACGACGTTCTGTACTTGTCTTTCGAGGCCCAATGCCGGAGCTATTCGCCTAAGCCCGCATTTGGATTTCATTTTATCAGTTAAGTATTTTTTTTTATTAAAATTTAAGATAAATATTAAAATTTTAATTTATATAATATAAAATAATATAAATATATTTTATCACTCAATCAATTAAATATCAATAAGCGGCCTCTATGTCAAAACAAATATTAATAAGTTGTAACCAAAAAAATAATATTAATAAGCGGCCTTGATAACTTTCAGGTTAATGAGTCGGTTAAATGGTACTATATTAATTACCAGATCAAATTCAATACAAAGAAAATTATTTATTTAAAATCGAATCAATGTACACATATAATTTATAAAACTTAGAAACCTGAAGATAGTATATTTTAATAATATTTGTGAAAACATGACACTAAGTACTCATATTCATGGGTGGGTATTGATATTTTATAGGTAAATAATATTAGTAAGTAATTTATGTTTTTAGTCCGTACAGTTTTGAAAAAAATAGTTTTGATCGAAACAAATACTTTAGGACTAGGTTTTTGAATATTCTTAAATAAAATATTACAAATTAAATGTAAATTACATGATATTTTACCATATTTATTTACTGCATGCATTTAACGGCGTTTAATTTTTGTTTCGAGCTTGTATAATGCACTACAATAATATTATAGGTGACAATAGGAATTTCTACGAGGATTTTTACTCTTTGATGTTGCAATATTTGATCTTGAACGTGTTCTATTTCGTTTGGATGTCTTAGGCAATGTATTATCCATTTGGTAAATAAAACAGGCAATAAAACCATTACGTATTGTTCTCGCCGGTTAGTGTTGTTTTTATTCGCGTTGAATATTAATGTTGTCTAAGTAAGAAATTTGAGCTTCTCGCCACAGAGGAAAAGTGAAGGCATTCCTGAAGGATGGCCCCAACAAACCTTGCAGGCTCACTGCCTTTTGGGGGGTACAAGGCTGGTATGACTTACCGTGTCAACGAGGTTGAAAAGCCTGGATCTAAGCTTCACAAGGAGACATGTGAAATCTGTTATTATCAAGAATTTAAATTGTGATTGCGAACGTACTTTTAGTTGTATTACGTTTATCGTGATTATGACAATAACAAATGATATTGTGTTCATTACGAGTGTCGTAGCAGTCACTATCTGATAGCGGATCACTATTTAAATCATTGGTTATTATCATTAAAACCCCTCCTATAGTGATTTTTAGGGTTGTTGGATATGTGAAGACACCACTTGGCCTCCGCTCCTTGGACACCGTTTGGGCTCAGCATCTGAGCGAGGAAATCAAACGTCGGTTCTACAAACACTGGTGCAAGTCCAAGAGGAAGGCTTTCGTCAAGTACTCAAAGCAATATGAAAGTGAAGATGGGAAGAAGAGTAGCCAGGCTCAGTTGGAAAAGGAATATCGGAAGAGACAAGGTACTTAAACTTTTGGAATGGTCTATTTGTTATAAAATAATAATATTAATGACCATATCTTTACTTTTGAAACTTTAGTACTGAAAACAAAAAAGTACTCATACATAAGTGACTATTTATGTAGTTTATCTAAAACAAAAAAGAAGAGACAGACCAATTGACTATTTAAATACTACGGATCCTCTCAAGAGCTAAATCCACTCAACTAACCACCCTCAATTTCCTTTGCCACCAAAATTTAACTGAATGGAAGGGGGTGGGGCACCTCAGCCGGCTGACACCGAGATTACCGGGGCAGCTCCACCTACACCGCCGCAACAGTCTGAACCACAACACCCCCAGAAAAGTCCACTGCATATGCCTGCCGGGTTTGAAATTACGGCGACTCCTAGTCATGGCGTCAGGTTTATTCAATATAACATGTTGGGCAACATTTTTGAGGTCACTGCTAAATGTAAACCTCCTATCATTCCTATCAGTAAAGGCGCCTACGGCACCGTTTGGTAATTCTTGTTCTCTTTTGATTATGTTTCTTTTAGTTTCGTTCTTACTTGCTTGGTTTTTGCTACTTAAAGAATCGTCATCTTGTTGATTCTTTTCAATTATTTGGGTTTAGGTCTGCGTTGAATTCGGAGACAAATGAAAGGGTGGCATTAAAGAAGATATCGAATGCGTTTGATAACAAGATTGATGCAAAGAGAACTCTTCGTGAGATCAAGCTGCTTCGTCACATGGATCATGAAAACGTTAGTGAGTGGAATCTTATTTTCTGGTTTCTTTTAACTTGCTTTTTTATGCAGTTCTTTTGTTATTAATATTTTTCTTTATTTGGTCTTATTTTCTTTTTGGCTGTTCTAATGCTGTTAATGGCTATGCTATTGGTGTGTTCATATTCCTTTTAAAGTTTTTTTTTTTGGTTGTTGCTATATTTGGAGGATAAGAACCTTATTTCCTTTCAACTTTTGGGAGTATTTAGTCACTGCTCACCGATCATTGAATAGAACTTAAGAATCTAACGAGGTTACATTTAATAAAATATTGAATGTATATTTATGATCTGTCCCGGGTATTATATCATGTGCAAGCGCTTCTAATTCTTCGCAAAAACATAATTAATATGTTTCTGTAAATACCAAAAACATTGCCTGTTACTAATGCTACATTGGTAACGACCAGCATCTTGGAGTCTTCCTCACGTGAAGAACAGAAAGTTCATTTTATATGTAACCCTGCCAGTGTTTATCATTTCGTTTTGATGTTCCATTCCATCTTAAAATGGTTTCACTTTCTGAATTTGGTTGTTAAGATCGATGAAATATATTATTGGTTTGCATTTTGTAATGCAATCACTATTGTTTTTGTCTAAACCTTAGCGTAACACCCTTGACATTATTTGTGCGAATTCTTTTCTCTAGCTATAAATAGACACAAACATAGGTTATTTGTGTTATAAGATAATAAATACACACACGCGCACATACAGAGAGAGGGCTAGGAAGAATGATATCATTTTTGTTATCCTTGTGAGTTGGTCTTATCTGCGCATTTAATGCAGATTATTGCTATCAGGTATATAATTCCACCACCCCAGAGGGAATGCTTTAATGATGTTTATATTGTATATGAGCTGATGGCTACAGACCTGCAATGGGTAATCCTTGCTAAACATAGACTCTTGGTTAGTTTTTTATAATTGTCATATTCCTTTAATTGCTAGCTAAAGTTTTAATGGTATAGCTATTTCCAGTTGACTATGGTAATTTAGATTCTTAATTTTGCTCCCTCCAATCCAAGTTGTTATCCAGTACAGAACTTTTCTTCTTCCTAGTCAACTGGAAATAGCTATACCATTAAAACCCAACAACTAGAAGTATTCAAGTTAGTCATAGTGGCCATGGTTTTTAAGGGTTAACATTTGAGCCTTAAAATCAAATTAACTACCTTCTTTGTGCCTTGCAGTATTTCCTCTATCAAATATTACGTGGCCTGAAATACATACACTCCTCAAATGTTCTTCACAGGTCTTAAAACCTGGCAACCTTCTCGTGAATTCCATCTGTGACTTGAAAATATGTGATATTGGACTGGCTCGTGTCACCTCCAAAAGTGATTTTATGACAGAATATGTTGTTACTAGATGGTACCGTCCACCAGAACTGTTGTTAAGTTCTTCAAATTATACTGCAGCCATTGATATATGGTCAGTGGGTTGCATTTTTTTGGAATTGATTGATCGGAAGCCATTATTTCCTGGAAAGAATCATGTACAACAGCTGCGGTTGCTTTTGGAGGTAAATTGTTTTTATCCTGCAACCAATATAAATTATGTAAAGTGCAGGCAAATAAGTTGCTAAATAGGGTGCTATGAGCATTTCCGGAAAAAAGAAACGATAAACTACAAAAATGCTTGTACTATTTCACCGTGTACACTGAACTCTTTGCCTTGCAGCTAATTGGCACTCCATTAGAAGCTGAAATGGAATTTTTGAATGAAAAGGCTAAAAAATACATTCGAAAACTTCCTATCTATCCCCGTCAATCTTTTGCAGAAAAGTTCCCAAATGTCTATCCTTTAGCTATTGATCTTGTTGAAAAGATGTTGACATTTGATCACAAAGTAAGGATTACTGGTGAGTTTGTAGCGAAAGAACATTTGTTTCTCTTCAATTCTTTTTCTCTCTTATGCATATGCCCTGTTGCCATGCGGCTTATGCTTCCCAAATGTCTACTTCCTATTCGTTGCAGTTGAAGATGCCCTTGCTCACCCCTATCTATCAAAAATGCATGATAGAAGCGATGAGCCTGTTTGTACGACCCCCTTTAACTTTGACTTCGAGCGGCATGCATTAACTGAGGAGCAGATAAAGGAGTTGATATACCAGGAGGCACTTGCATTCAACCCACAATATCAATAGCAGCAATGAGGCTTTGAATCAGTGTTGTACAAACGCTTGTATGTTTTGGGATCGGTGATCGATTTCTTCCTGCAGAGGTTCCATCCAGAGCAGGATGAGCTCTGGGCAGAACTGCACTAAACGGAAACAGTTGTGTCGGTGTTTGTATCAGCTGGTGATTGTATCTGCTGTCTAGTACGGGTTCCGACCACTCTTTCTTTTAATGGTGGCCGTCTCATCATGTTTCTGAGATGGATATATACTTTGGCATATTTGTAACATTCAATCAGTAGCCTCATGTGTTCCGATTTGTCGATCATGAGTAGTCTTGATTAAGAGGAAGATGCTGAGACTTGCATTCTCTAAAGTCATAGATAACCATTAATTTAATGCTTTTTAATGCAAACAGACAGAGTTAACTGATTAAATTTAACAGGTTTTCATAAGTATGATCCATCGATGACTACAAACTAGGAATGAAGCAGAAAACAAAAGCCAAAGGAAAGACGAAATCAAACATCTTTACAAACATTTGATTCAGAAACTATGGGAGAAATTTTAGTATATCTTTTAACATCCCATTTTAACTCTTCACATCCCCAGAAAATCTTGAAAGTGGCACTGGACCTTCACCTTCTTCATTATCAGTACTTGAGTTCTTATTTCTTGATTTGTGTTCCTTTTTCTTCTCTCTCCTAGACTTGGACTTCGATCTTCTTGATTCTCTCTTGTCATCACTACTTGATTCTGAGGATGAACTTGAGGAGCTAGAGTCGGAAGACCTGCGTCTTGAACGCTTCATAAAGTCAAAGGTTCAATGACTGCACTTCAGTTAATAATAATAAAAAAAAGGGGATGATACGGTTCAATTCTATGGCTTGATCAATTTCATCTGTATTTGTTTTGTAATCTCATTACAGATAGCAGAACTGAACTAAAAATAGTTACCATACAAAATTGGAAATCTCAACTTCATTTGTCCTTTTCAATTCATATACAAAACATAGAATTAGTCATGAAGTTGTTGGAAACTACAAATACCTTTCTCTTTTTGCTGCTGCGCTTCTTTGCATCCTTGTCTTTTCTATCTGTGCAATGAATTCAACACCCTTAGAGAGCAAGCAAAAGGCGTGGTATCTAAAGCACGGACATGAGAAGACCAGCCTATTTAAGGCCTTTTAGACGTACCTTTTTTTGGCTAGATTTACTACTAGAATGGTTTCTACCATGTGCAAGCTTGCTTGCCCTTTCAGCATCTAGCTGGGCTCTATATTCTCGCATCATTCAATCTGTATCTGCTTCCAATTCCCCCTTTCTCAATGCATCTTTCTATCATATCAACAAATACACAAAACAACGTTGAAACATGCCTTATGAATCGTGTTGTTTATCGCAATCAAATAGACACCTGGGTTAGCAATGCAATTTAACATCAAGGCTAGCACTAGTCCGAAGAATATCTTTATCATATTTATCAAATGGACGGATAACTTCAACAAAGCAACTCCTTAGTGTCTTATTCTTAGAGCCTTGCTGATAAACCTCAGTTGCATAAAGCTCACTACTGATGTTTTAAACTAGTACCGATATGGTCAGGTTGTTATTGACAAATAATACTTAACTGGATGGTATTTGGGCCAAAACTAACTCACCCACAAAGGCTTAATGCAAAGTAGCAAGTTTCTCGCCAATGCACACTAAATTGATAAACAGCAAGGGGAAAAGAGTTTTGTTCCCTACCTGTAATGACATTAATGACACTAAAAATTAAAAAAAGCAGGTACGTTTTTCGGATCATTTGCAAGAGCTTTAGTCGTATGAATAACTAAGTAGACATATGTTTATACAAAAAATGGAATTCTTAATGATTTTTCCAATATATATGCTTGTCTAATAACAGAACATGTGATTTATCATGCATCTTTGTCCAATTCAATATGAATACTTGAGAAATGCTTCCGACAAGTCAAGATGATAGAAACAAGGGGGGGAATTTTTCTCTAGCTTACTTTTGTTTCTTTTTAAACTCTTCCCACGTAACCGTATGAGAAGTTTTAAGGCTGGCCAAACGAGCAGCATGCCACTCTGGTGAATGAAAAGTACCATCCATCTGTGATTCTCCTCATCAGAAATGCTCCAGAAAACAAAAAATAATTAAGAAAATAAAAAGTCTAAAACAAAAAATCCACAATCTCATGGCAATTTAATAATAAAATAAAGAGAGCTATGTTTCCATCAAAAATCAATTTGCAGCCAATGTTCTTAAGTTCTTCAACCAATTATTTAATGTTAGCAAACATAATAGCTATCGAGCATCAAAAAATCTTAATCGGTAAAGACCAAAAACAAATTTGAAATAAAATTGAATGATTGCATACTTGAAGAAACATAACATTTATTACACTGATTACCCAGGAATAAGAAAAAATAGTGATAAATTCAAAACCATAAACTCTCAGTAAAATGCAACTTATCAAATCAAAATTACAATGAATTAAAACAAATAACAAATTCCCTTATTAGCATATATATAAGCTAGTAAACCTTTTTTTTAATCTAAGAATCAATTCGGGTCAGTATTTGATCGTTAAGGTACTCCAAAAGCGGCATATTCACGCTTTACAGGAATTTACTGTTAGATCATAACAAATATAACATATCAAACTCCAGAATACCACAGTGATTCTCAAAACAATTAGTGAGAGATTAACATTAATGCTTCACTAAATCACATCTAACTTCTAACACTGAATCAACTACATACAAATTTTACCTATGCATCCAAGAACTATGACTAACAACTTGATACAAAATAAGTCAACAAGATTTTAGAAGACCCCAAAAGTAAATTTACAAACTTAGGAAGCACCGCGAAACACAACAACCAATATAAATGAAATGGAAATAAATCAACAAATACAAAGCACCCAAACGAAAAACAATCTTTTTACATAAATCAAAATACATATAATTGTTTGAACATAGAAGGGTACAAACCATGCCATCCTATATCTCTTCAGGGCCAGCAGAGGAAGAGCCAAGCCTAGCTCTTTGCATAGCCTTGTAGGCTTGGTTTTCCCCCATTTTCAGAAATAACCAGATTAGAAAAACCCAGAAAAAACGAAACTAGAAAAAGAAGATAAATAGCTTTCTGGTGTTTAAGATAGTATGGGTAAAATACCCATATTGAAGTAAGAATATAGGGATTTGTATTTCAGCAAAGAGAGAGGTTAGGGTCAGGGAGAAGGAGGGATGGGAATCTCATTTTGTTTTCCCTTAAATGCTAAAAAAGTTTTTAGGTTTTTAAAAATTTATCTGAAAAACAACACCAAAAAAATGGAAGATATTAGGGAGTAAAAATTAGAGCGTAAATTATATATTTAATCACCTAACTATTATTTAATTTTGTTTTAGGTAAAAATTATTTTTTTATAAAAATATATAATGTTATATTTTATTTTATTTTGATTATGTTTTAGTCGTCTGTTATTTAAAAAAATAATGTTGGTGTTATATTACTTTAAAGTGATAAATCAATGTCATTGTTAATTTTTTAACAATCGGCGATTAAAATAAAATAAAAATATAATATTAAATATAATTTTAAGAAAAAAAAAGTTAGATAACTTAAACATAACTAAAATAACAATTAAATGAATAAGTGTAAGAAATTATTATTACAAAATGACAATTATGTAAACAACGATGATGAAGAAAACAGTTCTTTTTTGTTATAAAAGAAAGCAGTGCAATAATGATATTGTCAACTTAGCCATGACGAGGGTGAGAAGGTATTGTATTTAATAGGGTGGATACGGAAAGTCGCAACCTTCCCAAGCGAGCCAAAGGTTCAACGTATTGTCACTTCGTGATCGAGATAAGTGCGAGTTAAACCAATTAGGATATCACCAAGATCATTATGGACCATCAAAGGAGTTTGAAGAATATCTTAAGCCACTTTAGCTGAAGTTGATCCGATTTTAATAAGTTTTTCTTATTTATTTATTATTATCTTTTATTTAAATTTGGAATAAAGATAATGTAAATATTTAACTAGATTTTCTTTTAATATTAGTCATTGATTGTATTTAATTCTACCCGTCGGATGTAAATAACTTCAACTATAAATAAAAGCTTACCCGTGCCTCATTTTTTATTTCATTTTTAAGGAATAAAACTAAGTATTCTCTCAAATTCTTTTATTCTTGTGTGTGAGACATTTTTCTTTCGAAATTTTGTTTGCTCCCGCATTTTTTTCTAAGTTTTTTTTATCTAGATTATTCAGGTTGATTTAGGTCGCATAATTTTAGAGAACAGGAATTTGTGCGGGAGCTTACCCGTCGCATAGTTTTTTTTCTAAGTTATTTTATTTTTAATTAAACCATTAAACTACTAAAATACTATAAATCAAGTTACTGACTACAACCATTTAACGAAAAATGATGATGCAATTAAGGAAATTTATATAATTATATTTTTATCATTGTTACTTATACATTCTATTAATTACTAATATTTATTATAAGAAAATTTGTAAATATATTTTAAATATTATATAATATTTTTTAAAATTAATAAATATTATTTTTATATTTATATTTTAGTATATATTAGTAACATAAAAATATAATATTATATATTATTATATTAATAGTTATTAACTACAATTTTAACCTATATATAATATAGAATAATTCTTCAAGGTTGATCATTATCAAATCCTAAGCCTAATTTCATATTTCTTTATTTCATTCGTGCTTAATTTTTTACAATTATTTGGGGGGGGGGGAAGAACTCTTAAAATTCTAATAATTATTCTTCAATTTTAGATTTTAGTATTTCAATAAAGATTTATTTGATCCAAGCTTCAGCGCTATCTCATCAAACTGTGTTGAATCATAAGCACTGAGTTTATTACATATCGACTCAGGTGTTCTTTTTAGATACAGAGAACGATTCAAATCAATTTGCAAAAAACAAAATACGTTTTTTTTGCTCCCCACAAGATGCCTAAAACATTCATTCTTTCATGTTAACAAGGAGTCTTCATAAGTATGCCTCTTGGGACCTCTCAGCATCCATACGTTCAAGCACCCGTCGAGCTTCCTCTTCAGTAGCCGGAACAACATTCCGAATCCTCAATCCCTCTTTCATGGCCTCGGGCCGGACAGTAAATGTGAAGTAGAATTTGTTGGATACCTATTCAAGTTGAACAATATTCTACCAACGATAAATACCGGATCCCGGACTGAACACTAAATGAAAATCTTGCATAAGAGAACACAATACTTGGAAGGTATTAGCTATCATTTTGCATCTCCAACTAGAGCAAATAAGATGATCAAAGTGCATGCCATATGTAGAACCATTTTTATGCACACAACTTTGTTGAATCCTATTATTAGTTATCTTCATTAACAGAAAGGGTCCTGAACAATGGTAACTGTAACACGATTTAATGTGCTATGACAGCTAGTAAGAATGACGGATGATGCTTTAACCTAGCTAACAGTTATTACACAAAGTTCGTTCGTTCGTACTTATATAGTTTCCGGTGCTCACCTCACTACACCTTAGCTCAGGCCTTGTGACATGAGCTACAACTTCCACATTTATCATAGGTTTCATAGGGTTCTCAAGTTCTGTATATAAAACACAAGACTTGAAACGGAGGAAATTTCCAACATCCACCTGCATTAGCCAAAAAAAACATTAAGAGAAGTCTTGTTGCCTTGATCATTTCATATATAAATAAAACGGAAGATTTCACTGTAAATATCAGCACAGCTTTCTACATAATGAATCCATCGGTAAGGCATGCATCGAATTATAAACAACAGCATGTATTAGTTTCTTCTGAAAGTTTTAAATATTGCTCGAACCGTTTCAACCTTCAACTTACGCAAGGAAGTTTACTGAGGCAGCCTATTTAAGAATATTCTCATATCTTAATTCTTACTGTGGGAAACTCCAGTCTCAAACCTCACCAATACCACTAACTTAACCACAATTAACGACATTAATTATCATTGTGCACAACGCGAGGTCACCTCGCTATACTTGACATGCTATCCAAATCTGAAGGGAAAAAAGGTCCACTTTATGTGGTGTCAAGATTTTTTACTGAAAAGGTTTATTTAGAACTTAATAGTTCTAGGCTTCTAGCTACTTACAGGTTTAAAGAAGTCAACATGATCAACTTCCAAAAAACAAGGTGCAGCACCAGCGAAGGCATAAGCAGTCGAGAAGGCCAGTTCAGATGCTTTCCGCATCAAAAAACCTCCGAATATCCGACCATGAATATTCCTTTGTTGTGGTTGGCACATCAATGAATTTTCATGACAAGTATCTCTTATAAGAATGCTATCTCTGTCTGCCAATGCTGGCATGTCGCAGAAAACTCGCCCTTCAGCCAACAGTGCGTTAAGCCGCTCATCATCTCTATTATCAACATCCTTCTTTTGTGCTGCTCTATTCTGCTTTCTCATTTTGTTCCTCTCTTCTGCTTCTTTCCATAGAAATTTTTCGTGTTCAGTTTCGGGCAATATCTGGTTAAGCGGAGCTGATTTTCCAGTCTTGGACTCACGAGCAACGAAGGTAAAGTTTGCCACAAGAGCAACAGAATCCGAAGGATCTGGAGAATCTAAAAAATGAAAAAAAAAATCATATATATCATTGAGTCCTAAAATAAATTTTAACAAGGGAATATACTCAACTGGCAATTTTTCAGGAGGTTTTACTTCTTAGTTGTTACTTCATCTTCATTTCAGACACACAACCCGAAATTCCGAGAAAATCAATCAATGTGAAAGAGGATATCACTAAAATTTGAGGGTTTTGAATGCGAAGCACAGAAAGTGAAAAGCGTAAAAATCAGTTCACTCAGCAGCATCTGAGTATGCTATATCTAAATGTTACAATTCATTTGGTATACATATCCCCAGTCTATAACACAGATAGTTGAAACAGATGTAAGCGTCCTACAGAGAATTAACTGGTCACGAAAAAACCCAGAAAAAGTAGACTCAAATAGCAGAAACAACTGTGAACATTGACATAAGGCCTACATCTTCGAAAGATGATAAAATTCATCCAGTTCGAATGCCAAAACCAGAAAAAAAAGAAAAGGAATGACCATGGGTCCCTCAGCTCAAAATTGAAACTAGCTGTGAAGCACAAAAGTTCATGTGAAACGGTTATTATGCCAATTGCAAATAAGCTCTTGAGCACCTTAGCTCAGCACATGGTTTTCTTTACTGAATCAACAGGGACAAATAATGAGGGCAAAATTGGGGATAAGGCAGTCTTTCATATCGATCTCAACAAGACAAAATTCTCTGTTACATCCTAATATCTGATATTAGCTCCAGGTTCCTTCTATTGACCTTTGGGGTTAATCAATCAACAATTGCATGATCAAAATAAGCCAAAAGTATGCATCTACAACCAAGAAGAAAGACCTTTAACAGCACATCAAGTGTGAAGTATATATAATCAGCAAAAATATTTGATCGAAGACACAAATAAAGATATGTCAGTCAAAAACAATTTTCAAACTCTAACAACTTCTAGATTACCGATGTACCAGAACAGTCATCAACTCAATCTCGCTGCAAACTCAACTGAAAACAGTCAATTTATATTTTATTAAATATGATTGCTATAGGATAATGGACATATTTAGAACCAGAAGAAACAAAAAGACACACATATAAATGGAAGTTATCTGAAGCCATCCACAGAACATGCAAGAAAGCAGGGGGGGGAATTAAGTAGTCTTTACTCTGCACTACCTGGTGTGGATTGAGTTACTTCCAGCTGAATCTCCATTGATGACCTCCCAACCCATGTAACAGCCCCGGAGATTTCCAAATCGAAGTCAACACGGATCGGTTTTTTTAGAACCATCCTGTCAACAGAAGCTGTAACCAACAATATAGGCCTTGTTGCACCATCATCATTCCGACAATGCTACTCCAAAAGTAAACAACAAATTAAAGAAAGTATGAAATTCGGTACCAGCTCATCATAGAATGCATATATTTCACCTCATTTCAAGAACTATTGTCATCAGTCTAAACTCAAACAAGCTTAATATAGCCATTAATACATTAATACTATAAATTTTTTACAATAGATTCTTAAAATTCTTACCCTATATGAGATGGTTCCAGCGAGAGCATCAAGATCCTCAAGCAATTTCCCCATCCTCATCTCATCCCAAGGGTTCCTATACTGCTCCCTGAGTATATAATCAGAAGAAAACTTATAAGCAATACTAGTCCTGCTCTTTGAAGGGGGTTTTGCAACTAATTCAGTTTGTGAATCTTGAGCTCCATCAAAACTTTTCTCAAACATGCTTGATCTAGCTTCCCATAAGGCATTCGTTACAGGAGAATGGTACATTCCGGGCCATAAACTGATTGGTTTCCTCATTGAAGACCCTGCATCAATAGGCCGAGAGCCTTGATTCGGTCCACTAACAGTGGAAACAACAGGGATATCATTTGAAGAAGAAACTCCAGTCTTTTTAACACAAAAGGTCCTGATCAGTGGAGAAGTTCGAGCCTCGGAAGTGGGATTTGGTTGTTTCGGTGAATTTGGGAAGTGGGTATTAAACCTTGATAACGAAGATGAATTGGCGGTGAAAACCGGCATGGCTGAACCAGAAAGCTTGAAATTAAAAATGGGACTCTGGGAAGTGAATGCTTCATTGGTTCGACAAGTAATTTTCATCGAGGATCTGGAGTTGTTGAATCTGAAGAAAGGGTGAGAAAGTGGCCTTCTCAAAGGGTTCATGTTTTCAGATTCTGATTCAGAGAGAAGTTAAGCGCTGTTAAACTCCATCATAAGGTTTGAAGGAAACTGTAAAAGTGGAGGATAGTTTCTGAGTTAATCGTCGTGTCGAGTTTCCATTCGTTACATTGCAAAAGCTTTCCTATTCAGGAGGGTATAGGAAGGTTGGGTCTGAACAGAACATTGATGAAAGGAGGAAGAAAATATAAAAAAGTTTCATAAGAAATGCTAAAAAGGAAATTTTCAACAAAATAATTTTACTAAGATAATGTAATATCATTAAAAAAATAAAAAAATATCATATAAATAATTAAATTAAATTTTTATAGTAAAATCTATTAATTGAAAGAATGATCAATGATATTTATATTATCTTACTTGACATCTTTACTTAATAAAAAATGAGTATAGATAATAATTTATATTACAGTCAATTACGTTGGTTATCAAAACTAAAAAGCAAAACTTAAAATTTAATAGGGCCTTAATGTCAAATTTTACAGTCTAGTTTAAGGTTAGAGCTATGGATTTACTCGAAATAGTATTGGTCCCTTAAAATAATAAAAATTTTATTTTATATTTTACACAATTTGTTTTTACCTTTTAAAAAATGTTTTTATTGAATGAATCATGTGGAGTTATTTTATGACCCTTTTATCGCTTTAACGTAATAATCAGAGACAAATATTACGTTAATAAATATTTTTTTGAGTTAAACAACGTTATTTGCTGATAAGTTTATTTTTTTTATTTTAATGATAATAATAGAAAAGAATGAAATATAATTTAAAAAATACTAAGTTTGTTTAATGTATTTTATATAATATTTACTAGAAATATTTAATGTAACATCTTTTAAAAATATTAAATATCATTATTATATAATCTAATATAAATGTTTCACTTTATAATGATATGTTACTATTAATTATAATTTTTTTTAAATAATTTTAGTTAATTTAAAAATAATTATAATTTTATAAAAAAGTTATTTTATTAGAGAAGCTTTTATTATTTACTACTATGATTATATAATTATTTAGTTAATTTGTAATGCTTAAATATTTGTTTTCTAAACATTGTAATTTGTAAATATAATTTTTTTGGTATTTTATAATTATTTAGAATTCTTCAAGTTTTATAATATTTTTATTGAATACACATATTTTATTAATTAATAAAAAAGTAAACGCATATATACACGCGCAATGTTCACAAAAACCTAATTTGTCTTAAATATGTAAATAATGTTTTTTAAATAAAATAAATAAATAGTAACTTTAAACAAAAACAATAATTTAATTGAACCAAAAGTTATTAGAATTTGCAAGAAAGGATGTTAAAATTGATTTTTAGTTTTATTTTACTATTTCTTTATAAAGAGAGATATTTTAATTTTTAACGATTTAATTATAGATTAAAATTATAATATTAAATAATCCAGTCTCGGAAAACCAAACATCCCCGAAATTCAACTCCAACGACCAAAAAAATTAGCACTTTTTTAATTTGCATGTAACTCTGGAAAACAATAAAAGAAAAACGCCGTTGCCGGGGATCTAACCCGGGTCACCCGCGTGACAGGCGGGTATACTCACCACTATACTACAACGACTTGATGAGAGTCGCTTGGAATTGTCTTTAAAATCATTTTAAGTTAGCATATTATAAGGATTTTATTAATTTTGCTCGAACTTAAATTAGTTCAGTTTTTTTGGTTAAAGTACGTAGATAATCTACTGAGAGTGTTTTTTTTGTTATATTCGTTTATTATTAAAAATTATAAAATAATCACTTAGTTATAGGGTATTGTTTTATTAAGTCCTTCAATTATTAAAAGTTATAAAATAATCACTTGACTATTCAAATGTTCTAAACTCATCCTTGTCAGTTAAAAAAATTAACGATTACCTAAGATGATTGTTAACATAACAACGATGATATGATAAAATCTGATAATAAAATTGTATTTTATAGATCTAATCTATACATACATCATACCGTCAAACCAATACTTAAAATTGAAATATTATGTTGGTGAGTTCATGCTTGAAAGCAACAACAATATCAATATACATTATTAAAATATAATTTTATCATATATCAATCAACATGTTAATGTCCAATTCAAACGTGTATCAATTTTTCTTAGAGAAATATAATTTTAGAACATATAAATAATTGAGTAACTATTTTGTAACTTTTAATAATCAGAAGACTAAAAATAAATAAATCTTATAATTAGAAAATTATTTTATAACTTTTAATAATAAAAAATATGAATTATGAAGTACAAGTTATTAGGAAATTAAATAGAAACATATACTTCTTATAATAAACTACCAAATTGGCTAAGTTGGGTAAAAATTCAACTTTAAGATAAGTGTACCTCAAAACTAGTAATGCATACTATAATGATACAGTGATTCAAGAACGTTGTCGATTCTATCATTTGTTTTAGATTTTTTTTATAATGCATTAATGTTTTTTTAATATTGTAAACCAATTTTAAAAATCGATGATATCTTCTTACATGAAAAATACAAGTAATTTTTATTATTGGTAGTTGTCCATGACAACAATTAGAACTCATTTTCAATTGCATTTGGCCATTTTTGAGGAAAAGATATGAAGTCTTAGGCTTTTTTCCTCATAAACTTACACGTACACGTTATAAAAAAAATGATATATGCTTCATTTCAGGTCAATAAGCTGGGATCAAAATGATAATCGACTCTTTGGGTGACATGTGACATTCTCTACATGCGAAGAATCGTTATTACACCTGACATAATACAACAAACTATCATGAAAAATATAAGAGGAAATATGAACGATAACTTGTTACATTTATGAGTATTTATAATTTTCTTCAACTTCACTCCGCGTAACATTTTCATAGGGTTTTTTTCAATTGATTGATACTTATTTATTAGCGTATAAACTCATATTAGAACAATTTGAGGATATTCTATAAGAGTTGAAAGTAAAAAAAAAATCAAGGACTTTAACTACATCATTAGAACAAAAAAAGATATGTGGACTAGTGCTTTCGATGTACGATATCAATACGATCAAGGCCACCAACTTGATCGAGGCTATTAATTCATTCTTAAAGGGGACGTGTCATTTGTCATAATTATCATGATTAAAACAATATATTATCATTTGGATAAGATTTTTTGGAAAACTAGGGGTGAAGCCTTATTTGGACACAAAACAATCACTTTTTTCATCCGAAATTAGTAGCAACCCTACAAAAGAAAGTTGTGACTTCAACTAGGACGTTGGTTTTAGGTTTTCCTCGTATACAAGAATTGTTTTGTATTACAAAAATGTCGTGATCTCTTGAAGGTATTGAAGCAAATGCTTCCAAGGTGAATATGTAAGCTAGGTGATGCAGTTGTGACTTCTTTTAAGCTCTCAAGTATTTATTCTCCCACATCATAGCCTTATGTTCACATGTCAATATCGAATACAAAAGACACATTGGTCTTGTATACCGGCTTTTGTAAGTGTTCACAATATAAGAATATGAGTTTCACTCAATAGTAATGAAAAAGAATAGAATTAGGTTCAAACTTGACATGCAAATCTACAGGATCAAATGTTACATAGCGACTCTATAGGTTGTCTAAAATCCTTCAGATTCATAATGGTATGGATATTACAAAGAAGACCGAAGAACCTAAAAAATATGGTTTTAAAACTTAAATTCTAATTTCTAATACATAAAATCTATGAACCCTAACATAAACATAAATTCTAAAACCATAAATCACTCTAAAATCAAACATTTAAATCATTAACTTCAGAAGAAATCAAAAGTGGTTTTAAAACTTGAAAGATGTTTTTCACAAAATATATCTTTAAAGTATGTAACTACGTTGGTAAAAATTATTAAGAACTTAAAATTTTGTTTGAATAAATATTATTTTATAATAATAGAGAGAGATGGAGGGACACAAGAACAAGAACAGTATCATCACTTATGACAATGTGAATAACAAATTGTGGTAATGTTTTACGTTCAGATGACACGTAATTACATTATTTAATTTTATAAGTTTATATAATTATAATTTATATTACCAAACATTCTTAGGAAATTAAAATGCGATTACACTCTATCATTCAAATATACTTAGAAAGTTAAAATTATTAGACTTAGAAAATTAGAATTATTAATAAATACATTCATTTATATTATTAGAGTAGTAATTACAATTTCATAGAATTCAAGTATGGTGTCTAAATTTATATATATATATATATATTGAATGTGACTAACTTGAAATGTCCTATTATTTTAATAACCATAATTTTCCACACAAAGCAAAAACAAATACAGCAACTCAAACAAATTCACTCTTGTCCAAAATATAGTTAAATAACTATTTACCCAGCTAATTCCACACAGCCGATGATCTACCAAAATTACTGTTTTTAATTATTTTTTTAATTTGTTCTCTCCAAACTAATAGAATTATTTAGACGTAGTTTAGAGTACCTAATTTATTGGTTTCAAACAAAATAACAAGCTGCAGAGATTATTTTTGAACAGACATTTGATTGTATTTAAGTACATGAGTTCTATACCATTTATCGTACATCAAAATTTGATCATCATTAGTATTCAGTGTATCCTTAAATTTTATCTCACGCATATCTGAGTGTACGAATAAAACTTCAAGTAAAGCATGGAGGAAATCATGGTTGTTATCGTCGGAGCTGGCCCTGCCGGCCTAGCTGTCTCGGCTTGCCTGAACCGCCTTTCGATCCCCAATGTTGTGCTCGAAAGAGAGGATTGCTACGCTTCTCTTTGGAAGAAAAGATCCTATGATCGCCTCAAACTTCACTTGGCAAAGCAGTTTTGCCATCTCCCCTACATGGACTTCCCCTCAAATGAACCAACTTATGTGCCCAAAAACGGCTTCCTAGATTACTTGGACAACTATGTCTCACACTTTGGCATAACCCCGAAATGTCTCCGATCCGTCGAGTCAGCGGTTTACGATTCGGATTCCAGGAAATGGCGGATTGTTGTCAATAACATGACGGCATCAAACACGACCGAGTCCGAAGTGTATACCTCGAGGTTTCTAGTAGTAGCCACTGGGGAAAATAGCGAAGGTTTGATCCCCAGTATCAACGGTCTCGAGAGCTACAGAGGGGAATGCATTCACTCCAGCCAATACGGAAACGGAAGGAAATATAGAGGCAAAGACGTTTTGGTCGTCGGTTGCGGCAACTCCGGCATGGAGATTGCTTATGATCTTTGGAACTGGGGTGCCAACACTTCCATTGTGATTCGAAATCCAGTACATGTGCTAACCAAGGAGATGGTTAGAATGGCAATGATTATGTTACAATGCCTCCCAGTCAAAGTAGTGGACACAATCACAGTGGCCGCTAGTAAATTGAAATATGGTAAGCTTTCGAAATATGGTATTCAAAGACCAAGAAAGGGTCCATTCCATCTCAAGCAAATAACCGGTCGGTCCGCAGTCATCGATGTCGGAACCGTTAGTAAGATTAAAGCCGGAGAAATCAAAGTCTTGCCGGGTATTAAACACATAGAAGATAAAGATGTTGCGTTCACAAACGACGAGACGGCTCGATTCGACACTATTGTTTTCGCCACCGGGTATAAAAGCACGGTCCGAAATTGGCTCGAGGGAAACTATGGGAGTTTTGATGAGAAAGGGATGCCCACAAAAGGCTTTCCGGATCACTGGAAAGGGGGAAATGGGATATACAACGCTGGATTTTCAAGAAGAGGGCTGCAAGGCATTTCAAGTGATGCTCAAAATATAGCAAGGGATATATATATGCTTTCTCCTGCTGGTTTGGTGTAAAGAACAATGCGTACTACTTATAGAATGGGGTATTGTATTTGTATATTGATGGTTCTTCGTTCTTTCACCTTAAATACAGTGATAGACCTGAACCTTATGTTGTATATTTGATTAACACTAATAATTATATATTTATATTTGTGGTTGAACTTATAAATTATGATTTGTTATGTTATACATCTTTTAAATTATGATTTGTGAATTAATACATCTTTCAGTAGGATATAATATTTATAATTAGTAAATTATTCTATATTTTTATAAGTAAAGTTAATAAACAATTTAAGTTGCAAAATTTAAAATATACTTATTTTTCTATTTTGATACTTAAACTGCTAGTATTAACCTATAATTTTTACATCTCTTTCATCCCAGGTTTCTTTATCCAGTTCAATACCTCCATGCCTGCAACCCCAAGCCAAGAAATATATGCATTCCACCACCTACACCTATCATAAACAATGGAGCTCACTCGAAAATGGATTATAATCTCTACATTCTTCCTTCCTCCTCGGCACTATTGTCGTCTTCCATCAGACTGCCCAATTTGACAATGTCTTCCACCAGAACTTTTCCATCTATTGCATTCAAACAATGATATAATTATTGTCATTCTTGTGAACAGATCAAATCAAATGATTCACCCTAACAAACATAAAAGTGATACGATCTAAATTCTTAGGTAACTTAAGATGTTTCTTTTCTTCATAAAATTACCCTTTTCCATGCTACATAAAATGAACGACTAATAAATCCAACCAGATTGAGCTAAATTAATATTTTTCTCGATCATCTCGAGATACGGATTCACCTTGTCCATTGTTAAGATGATACGCTTATAAATGTATAGTAAGAAAGCTGTTTCACCCAATGACAATTAACTGCGGAAGTGGAGGACACGCATAAGTAGTCATTTTCTGCTTAATCATAATGCTTTAAGGATGAAGTGGATCTTTTCAACTATTTTACAGCCATTAAAGCAGAATAAGAGGCTCTTCCAGAAATGGATTACATGTCGGAATTACTGATCCTAGAAGGGAAAGCAATATGCATTGTACCAAGCCAAATTTATAGTAACAGTGAAACATTTACCTAAACGAGAAGTATATTCCTGTCTATTTATTTATTAGGACAAAGTTAAAGCAAAAAGGAAGAGGATTTGTGAAGCTGACCTCTATCTTTCGAAAGATTGCTGATGAGTTCTTGCACACCTTCCTTCGCTAGTGTATTCTTCAAGTAATGAGCAACAGCAGCCACCTCCTCGGGAGTGACTTTCCCGTCATGATCCCTGTAGGCATAGAACATTTCTCACAAATCCGACTACATAGAACTTGCAGTAACTAATGTAGTGGTAAATGTGCCCCGTTTGATGATTGAGGGCATAGCAAAAAATGAGAAAAGGAAAGAATCGAAAAACAAATTTTCACCTGTCAAGTACTCGCCATCCATCACCAATTTTTGCATCTACGTCATCTATTTCCTTCTCAAGATTTTGGAGCATAGCATCAACCTAATGAGCAGCAAGAATGGTAAATACTATTATTTCAATCATATGTGATAAGAAGAGATAAATTGCCAGAAAAACTTGGGCTTGAATAAGTCTTACTTTATCAATAAGCGCTGAAGAAACCTCATCACCATGAGACACTTCACTAGAGTGGTCACTTTCCTCTCTTGCAGCCCTATATGCCTTAATGGCATCTTTTTGACCATCTTCTTTGTCTACCATGCTATTATAAAGTTCTATCTGGCAACAGAATTAGAAAGTGTATCATTCTTTAACGATTTTCCAAGTTAAAAAATTTGCAAATAAATACCAAATGCATTTTCTGCTAATCTAGTAAGTCACAACTGAAAAGTCAGTACTTAAAACTAGGGTTGAGTATTAAATGGAGTGTGGAAAAATGAGTTGCTCGAGTTTCTGAATACCATTTTATCATTCAAACATTATTTAAAATTTTCGAGTAGAGTCAAATTTATAAAATTCGAGTCAAATCGAATATATTTGTTCGAGTTTCAATTCAAATTTAAATGTAATTGTTTATAATGTCATAAGACTAATTGGTTCCAATTTTTTTAAAAAAAAAAAACCATCTCTAACCATATACGTATAGTATACTTCTTCATATGAAAAATTTCCGCAAATGTAAGTAAGATTTTTAATGGTATTTAATAAATCAAATATCATCTAAAATTATATAATATTTTTACAATGTTATTCTTTCAAAGAATGGATTCAGAGTACAGATTATTGATGAGAGTATAAAAGATTCAAATCATTGGTGGAAAGAAAGAATTTGCAAAATGTTGCAATCGGAGGACCAAATTGAATAAAATTTAAAGTTGAGAGACTAAATTGAAAAAAGAGGAATTAGAGTTACATAGGTATTCTACGGTGGTAGAGGAGCATGTGGTTCAAATTTGGTCAAAAATGGACTTAAAACGAAAGAGGAATTGAAGAAACAAGGAAATCATGCAAAATAAGGGACTAAATTGTGAAAAAGAGGAAATTTATTGTGAAAAAGTGGAATTGAAGCTAGATATGTTTGAGGATCGTATGACTCAAATTTGGTCAAAAACGAACTTAAAATGGAGGAAGAACTGAAGAAACAAAGAAATTAGCGACCAAATCCTAAAATAATCAAATTACTTAGCTAAAGACCAAAATGGCATCGTTTTAATTTTCAGTTTTTCAATTATTCGAACTTTGAAAATCCTAACTAAAATTTCAAGTTGACTTGAATAACTTGAAATTTAAAAAAAAAACAATTTTTTTTCTTGTCGAATCAAGTTTTGCTCATACCTATTTACAACATCTAGACCAAAAGAATGAGAAAATGACAATATGACATTGCACAAATACTATGTTTTATCTATTAAATGAACCCTAGAAAATTCTATTAAACTAGCTTCATTGACTTCATAACTAGTTAAAAAAATATGTTGACACGATTCCCATGGAGTTCTTTGGGTTAACCAAATAAACGAATATCAAGTTTATAACATACCTCCTTATTGACAAGACCAAGAAACTCTTCACGCTCTCTGCTCACAGACTGCATATGAGGGAAAAAGTGAAGTCAAATATACATTGCAGGTGGCAATGCTAGGAAGATAACAAAAGAATGGAATCAAAATAACAACTGTCACAGAAGAAACTTTTAAAGTCCAATCCTTACAGATGCTGAAGCTAAAACAGCCAATGCACGACTGATTTCACAGAGCTGGTCTCTTTTTTCCATTGCTCTTGCTATAGCCTGTTCTTGTGCTTCTCTAGCCGTTGGGATAGTCATCTCTTTCAATGCCACATCAACTTGTTGAGCTTTAGATTCCTTCATCCTTGCCAGCTCTTCCTCTTCTCTCTCTTCCTCGTCCTACAAAGGTACCAATTTAAAACAATCAATGAAATTCAAAGAACCGCACACCTGGAAAGCTGCTTTTGAGCCTTTTTTTAAAGCTAAGCAGAAAACGTCAAGACTAAAGGCCTCTATTTGCAGGCCTTGCGATCGTAACAAACTCCTTCACAACAAGCAGGGTCAACTGAACCGCATAGTTGGCTTAAAACAGAAAAGAACCTACAGTAGAGGAATCTAATCATATGAAATAATATAAAACATCTTCCTTTTTCAACCTTGATCAGTTCTTCCTGCATCTCAAGGTACTCCAGCTTCCTTCTCCTTTCTGAAACAGGATCTTCAGATGGTAAAGCTGTAACACCAATAGTATCCACAACTTCATCAGGTAGAGAAGAAAGCGTAGCCCGAACAGCATCTTCAGGCTTCAGTTTTCCTGATACAGTGAATGCCCTACAGAGGATATCACATCAGAAATTAAGACTGGGTTTCACAAAAAAAAACAATAGCACAGAGAATCAACAGTTCAGTGCCAGCAAAACATTGAAGAAAGACAACAAAATTACAACTTCAAATCACCTTGAAAGGATCAAAAGGGAAGATGGGACTGCATGATTGAGAGACAAATCTAGCCAATCCCGAAGCTGCACACAGATATTAATCATATTAAGGAATCACAACAAATGCAGTTGCTATTGCAATTAAAATACATAAATAATGTAGTTGAAGGAACATGAAGTCGTGCAAATCCAGAATAAAAACGAACACCTGTTGACGCATTTCTTCCACTGAGAGTGCTCCAAGCATCCCTCGTTCCCTACAATCTTCACGAAGTTCAGCTTCTGATAGGGAATCCACCCCCTCTGCTTGAATCAGCTGGTCATCATTCTTAATCCTAAAATATAGTAAAAACCATAATAAGAAAACAGTAACAATAACAACATTTGTAATGACTTAAAATGTACTGAAAAAGGAAAGAGATACACAGATAAAACCATATTTAAAAAATTTCATTGCCTTATATACTCCAAGAAAACCGCACTTGGTATCTAGTTTCAGCATATTCCTTATATAAATGAAAGAATTGAAGGGGACATGCCTATGCATTTAAATTTCCAAATTTTATAGATATGGCATATTATTCCAAATCAGTATCACTGGGTTCTCAAAATGAAGACCACCCCCTCCCCACAATCTGAATCAGAAAACTATATAAATGAATAAACACTTAGCATGAAGCCTCTTGGTTTTAAAATGTACTACCACAAGTTATTGTTTAAGGGATAAACTTAAATAGCTTAAACTTTACAAGTGGTAAAAGAGAACCACCAGTAAATAGTAAGTAGAAATCTCCACAAAAGCAAAACATTTCTCATGAGTTCATAAAGATCAAGAGAAAAAAAGTCAGGAAAAATAAACCACTTAGGCAACCACAGTAAGAAACAAGTTCAATAAGCAGATCTGATACAATCCATTCACGCTTCTTGCATGCATCAAATTCCATTGATATGTTCTTCCAAAACAAGGTACATAAAAGTTAATTCAGATTGGATAAACACATTTTACCTTTGGAGTCTCTTCCGAAGCATATAACGCAAATACGCATCTGTTCCAAAAGGGCTGATCCCCATGTATTTGCACATATTT